TTGGGGGTACGCGACGCCTTCTGGCTTGGGCAGGATGGCGGGCAGGCGCGGTGATCTTTCCACGGACATGATACGGGACAACTGCATGTCACTGTTGGGCGGCTTTGGGAGGTAGCTGGCCGCAGCTACCGATGGAGAGAGCGAACGAGTCTCGCCACGAAAGACAGGGCTCGAGTATGTTGCTGGCTGATTGGGGGAAGGGTCTGAGGAACCAGAAGAGCACGACGCCGTTCGCTTCCGTCGAGTGCTGCCGTGGGACAACTGGTGGTAATGCAGGCGACAGGCGAGTTCGGTCTTGTTCAGATGCGCAGCAATATGTTTGTATGGCATTTTCTGCAGTCGGGTCTGAAGAAGGTAGGCTTCCTATACGACAGGGAGCAAACAACGGGTCAGCACGTTTCGGTTTCCTGATTTTCTGCGTAAATTCATAGAGTCATTGTAATTACTTCATCTTCCCTCCATGCTCTACCACTACCAGTAAGTGGTGTCTTCCTATTCTTCGCAACGCCATTCTCGTGTCGTTGCATGGCGTCCTTGGTGGGTGTGTAAACAGATTGAACTTGTACCACTTGTGTTCGAGACATGATACTTGACACTGGCAGCTGCAGTCTTCTTCGTGAGAGAGAGGTGAGAAGATGATGTGCTATCTTTTTGTCGACACGTCTTTGCCAAGTCTACCCGATAGGTTAACCCTGCTTCCTTTTGTATCGGGGGCTGATGAGCGAGAACAGTGTCCGTCCGTTGTTGTAAACCGAGATGGCAAACCAGGCCCTTCAAGGTCGTTTGAGTTTAGGTGTGTGAAAAAAAAGTTCAGATAATTCCAAAGCCCAGCCTTGTAACTTGCTTGTCGCGACTATGCAAAATCGAGGGTCTCAACCAAATATTGGTCTATCAAGACGATGATGACACGATGAAAGCGGGTGGAATAAAAAAGAGTTGTGTAGTTATAAGTCAACAAAGTTTTTATGTCGAATACGGTCAAAAAGGAGTGGCAGCAGCTGAGCCAGTTGGATGGTTAAGGAAAGTAAATCGCCGGCTGCGAATAGCGGAAAAGAAGAGAGAAGAGAAAGAAGAAACGACTGGAAGAACGCGATTCGCGAAACCAGAGCCCTTCAACGTCCTGGTAGAAGACGAAATATAACTTCAAAGACGAACCAGAAAAGAAGAGACCTGGGGCTAAAGAAGTACGGGAGAAGGCATGTTAATCAACGGTAAGGCCCCAGCCCAACGGGTCTGTCTTGCCCTCGTCCTACGAAACAACTTGACAGTGACGTTCCGAGTCTGGGACAGTCTTGACCAGGGACCCTGTCACTCTTGAGATCTAGCCCTGTTACATCTCAGTTCGGTCATCCACCCTGTGACAGATTCGAACATGTAAGCATAAGGGTTCGGCCTGATCCTCACAACAACATGAAATCCCTCTTGGCGACTCGTCAACTTGGAAACAGCCAGTGGGGATCGACTGGTCGCCACAAAAACTGACGCGAGAATGGAGCTAGCACTACTCAGTAGCCTCGATTCTTCAAGTTGCCGTCTTGTTTTATTATGAGAAGGCGGTTGTGAGGCTCTATTTGGAGTATCGACACTGTACTCTGTAAAACATGGTTAATATTTCCATTTCCGCATTGCCCGCCCAGCACGAGCGGTCGTGACGTCAAGTAACCTCATGAGCCCAGTTCTACCGTACGCAATGTATTGCACATGTTGTATACGTGTTTTGTCCTATGCCCCTTGCCCAGTTGTGAGTATTTGTTTCCTCTTCATGCAATGTGTCCCCTCCATCTGTTCAAAAATAATGCAAAGCAGAGCAGCTTTTCTGCCCCTTCCAGCATCAAGGCTGTGTTGACATCGACGTCATCTTATTCAGGCAGAGAGGACACATACCTTATGCAGGCTCCGCAACGCAGACACCTTGACAAGTCATGGCAGCAACGCCAGCCTGTTTATGATGGAGAGGCCGAAAGGGCTCGAGGTGACAGGTTACGACAGGCTGCAACGCACAGAGATTCAGCTTGGCATCTGAACTATCCATAGCAAAGACATCGTGTGACAGGCGAACAAAAGCCCGTTCGATACGGTGGACTTTGAGCAGCAACCAACTATGAACCCACTATCCCTGGTCCAGTTGGCCCCTCGTCACTCTCTTCAGCCGCCGAGCCACACAACCCTGCCCGCGTTCCTGCATTGGTCTCCATTGTGGCAGTTCAGGAGTTTCGCCAGAATAATGCGAGACCTCCGCCGAGGCGTTTGGTTTGAAGTCGCCCCATTGAAACGTAGATGCCGTTTCTTATGCCCATACTCCGTACACTGCCCCCAGTTGCAGGGTGTCCCGGCCGATTTCGACAGTCGTACAGCACCCAGGGCGCAATTGTCAGGTCATGGAAGCCGAACATTGTACAATACGGAATGTTCAGGTAATGGTTTAGTGGCCGGTGCCATGGAGACTGAGGAGAGGCAAACGGGAGAGAATGAGAAGAAATTGAATGGGGCTGCCGCAGGGTTGTATTGCATCGTGAGCCGCTCCCCGCCAGATCATAGTTTCTTCATGCCCAGAACCGCGCGCAAGGGTTTCGTACATGGATGGCATGGCACGTTCGACGTATGACGTTGAACAAACCTATAATAGGTTTTTGTGTTTCTGATCGTCTGGTCTGGGCAATTTTCCGCACACTTCTTCCGAGAGGAAGGACTGGCCACCAGCAAGCATCCTGGGAACCATTTGTGGCGTAGCTAAGCGCTCATAGCGCACGCATCCTTGGAACCCCAGCGACGGCGGGGCTGGTTCGGGGATCCCTTGAAACTCGCTAATGTAGAGTTGTAATCTCAAGTCGGTCTCAGTACGGAGTATTGACGCAGGTTGTGAAGAGTTCAACACAAAGGCGCTTTCGTAAAGCTCGGTGAAACTAGGCCTTCCTTCTTGAAAACAACCTTATTGTGTTTACCGTTGTTGTTGTTTTTTTTTTATCCCAATATTAAACACGTAATTTCCGTGCATTTGTTCTGATTTTGGTGGTAGTTGTGGTGGTGGTGGTTGTTTTTTTCCGACGCACGAATCCTCGGAGGTTGACGCATGACTCCGACGGGCTGATGTTGCGAGGGATTCGATGTCACCTGTAACAAGACACTGGGAATCCTTGTCGTATGCAAACAGAACAACTGAAACCGGGTGTTATGGAAAGTGCGGTGACCAAAGTGTCCAGGTGTCATTTTCCGTCATCTGACTTGTGCGCTTTCTCGCCACGAAACATATACGAACAATCCACCAGTCCTGCTTTCAGACTGTCGACAAGGGCAGGATATGGGTTTGACTACTAGAGCAGGCAAACAGTATTTGTTTGGGAAATGGCTTCATTGCTCACATCGTCGCGCCCTAATATGATATTGTGTGCTCTTATATGTTGGCACACACTTGACGATGATACGCATAATGCCTGGCAAGTTCGCTATAACTCACTCATCATCGGCGCCACAGCTTCGGAGTTCCTCAAGAGCCAACAAACGGATCCGCGGCATTTGGGACAAAACTTGAGTTCTGATATCTGATGACGAAAGTTCCGCTCGATGATGGAACCCGGCCTGTTTCAAGATCCGCGCATGAGGACGGCCATTTGGTTTTGCTGGCCGAATGGAGCATAAATGTCCGGCTAGCGCTGCCACTTTTACTGTTGCCAGCTGATGTCTTCTGCATTAAACACAGGACAGTTTGCCATCAGTTAGTTCCTTTTCCTTTCAAATTGATCCGCACTGGATGACTCTCGCCCCCTGATCAAGGCGACTCCGATGCGAGGGATGCCCTGTCCTGTTTTAGTGCCACGATTCATTCTGCTCTCGCGCTGTCTTCAGAGTTTACACAACGACACTCTGGGAATGGTATGTGATGGTCTAGTTTGTTCGAAGTCGTTGGCCGTGATGGAAACGGGGATGATGATCAATATCATAAGCATCGTCCCCATATGCAATGGTGTTGGATACCATCACAACTCAACTGAGGCCGCCGAATGCCGGATAACTAGCAAGCTGGGTATGTTGAAATATATCCGCATATCGGGCCGTTCATCCGAGAAGAAGCAATTTGCCGGCGGTGCATCAATCTGCCATGCTCAATACCCAACTGGCTAAGGTAATGTTGAGTGACTGCAGGTCTAATCCCGTGAGGCTGACAGGGAGCTTGCTATATATTCGCCAGTCCCTGACAGAGACGATAATAATTTACTAGTTGATTATCAAAGAGTCAGAGCCTGTGGTGGAGATGAAACAACCCGATGGTAACTTGAAAAATTGCCCACGCAACGACGGGCCAGTCCACTTCGAAATCTTAGTTGATCCCTACACGCATCGGAATATTTTGCCTGGTATAGAATGGCTCACACTCATGCCCATGCACGCCGTGGTAGGAACAAGAGAGCCATGTACTCCAGAAGTAGCCATCCTGGTCTAGGCCGCCAGCTCGCGGCTGATGCACGAGGTGGAGCTTGGGGAAGTGTAATAGAGATTGCGGATGTGGCTCCCACGCATCTGGAGATCACTTGGGCCCTCGGGAGTTGCATGTAGCTGGTACAAGGGCACGCGAAGCATGAAAAGCCTGCGGTGTACTGCACTCTGATCGAAACAGAATCGGAACAGTTCCCGACGAAAGACTAATCGTGAAGAGCCGCCTTGGTGGGAACATTGAGAACATCGTCCCTGGGGGCAGTTGGTTTTTTCTTTTTGATTTTCTTTTTTTTTTCCTTTTTTTTTTGTGGACGCGAGCATTTTTGTCTCCCGCCATAATGTTGACGCCTCAGGCAGGCGTGATTCGTAAGGTCAGGCCCCAACATCAGACGGAACATGACAGTCTACTATAAGAGTCGGTAACGAAGACTCTGCATCAAGGCATGTTCCCTGCCTACCTACTAGGTATCTACCTAGGATAAGTTTGTGTTCTATGCCGATTGAAACGAGTTCATTCGATATCGCAAGCACTAACTTATCTCCTTTTGGATGCATGGTAATTAAAAACCATGAGGATGTGCACCAACCAGGGCATCTGCCAATTCATCCTTTACACAGATGGAGAATTTGTCCTCTGGCCTAAGTTAGTGCATTGGTACTCCCTTAGTGCGGTGCGAAATCACTAGTTCGTGGCCAAGACTGGCGCAGGCGAGGACACCCCGGGGTGTTTTCGTGGGAGGGCAGTCTTTGATTGGCTCATTCTGTGAGGCATGGCATCCCACATTGAACAACGGTTCCGCAGCCGTATTTCGCACGCAGCGACGCAGCAACGAATGCGCTGTCTACACAGTCCGTGTTGCCGGAAGCACACAGTGACTCCCGCATCGGCTCTCGCACACGCCCTCCCAGCCTTCAAGTCGTGCCGATGGGCCCCAAGGTTTCCTCTCGCCTTTGGATGTTCCTCCCCTTCCACCAAAAAGCACCGGCCAGCCAGTCCAAAACATCGACCACCTCCCCCAGAAGCCCCAACCAAGGAGTTACTTGGGCTCGAGGTACTCTCTCCTTCGTCCTGTCCTCACTCCCGCCAGCAACCTGGCCTGTCGCTGTCGCTGTCGCTGTCTACGGCTACTGGGATCCACTGTCCGGATCAATTCGAGATATCTCGTCCAGCTCTGATCGGCTGCTCTCAACACCAAGGTAAGGTTGCGCAAAGGGGGAAGAGGAAAAGCACTCGTCGACCGGAGTCGTGTCCTGCCGTGTCCTGTCGTGCCGACGGCTGTCCTCAACCGCGTCGCCCACCTGCGCCTGGGCTCTGCGCTGCGCAACTTTTGTCTTCGGCAACCAACGCCAGCATTGCCACCCACGGGCCCATCTGTCGCCCCGTCAGCTGCGGTGCATCAGCTTCTCATCAAGGCACCTTTGGCAGCGTCGCCGCCTCGGACGTCGGCGCCCTTATACTGCCCTTATACATCAATAACTCTCTTGGCTGGGCTTTCTGGCTACACAAAAAAAAAAGAATTCTGTCGCTGACCTTGCAGATTGCACTGACAGCTGGCCATCAAACTTCACACGCACACGACACCGCACACGCAACGCAAAAGCACGCACACAACGAGTCTGGTCATTTTCACTCACCACTCATCACTCATCACACTGGTTCACACCTCTCACACACAACCAAGCACTTGAACCCACTTTATCACGTCGCCCACACCATCAGGCCACTCACCAGCCTCCACTGAATTCCTCCAGACGGCCGGCGCCCGGATCCGTCAATTACCTTCGCCTGCCCAGCTTCTCGAGGCGCAGAAACTTGTATTACGCAAACCCCGTGGCTCTCTGCCTTTACCACCCAGACCCGAGCCTCGGACCACCTGTGTGACTTTGACTTGCTTCACACGAGGAACTTGCTACGCGATCTGGTCAGGAGAAGTGTACCGCAAGAGACGTCTCATCAACACCGAGGGCTCTTTAACCAGCCTTTCTAGCTGGACAATACATTGCCCGTAAGTCTTGCATTGGGGCTTTTTTTTTGTCTTCTCATTTTTTTTTTTTTTTTGCTACATGCTTTGTCCTCCTTGCGCGCACTCGACAGTCCTTTTGCAGGGAGCATTGCGCCCCGTCAGCAGTGTCAGCTTGGCTTTGCCCGTCTCTCGTCTCAATGTCGCCTACCGTGGTTGAGCGCGTCGACAGCCTCTCATAGCTGGGGCTACACCAGCCGCGTCGCTGCAGCTGGACCCATGCCTGTTGCCAGAATGGCTGGCCACCTCTCGCAAACAAGAACTTGTCCTGCCTGCGCTCGCCTTCGCCTTTCTCTGGTCCTTTTATTCTCGCTACCTCTTGTCCAGAATTGACGCTGACGATATTTGTTCCTGTCGCATCCAGATCATGCAGCAGTGGCAGGTCGGCCCTGTGCCGGAGTATGTTTACGCCAACTCCACCCATCCGCCCAACGACATGCAGTAAGTACCGGCACCATAGTCTTTCGTCCCTTTTGTCCCTTTGTCCCAGGTACCTCCAAACTTTGCCTGCCACTGTCACTGTCATTTGCATCAGCCGTGCCACTGGCCTTGGCCTTGGAGATATGTTCTTCCTTCCTTGGTACCCGCGCCCAGTGGTCGGGTCGCTTTTGGCTCCGGCCTCGCCTGTGAAGCCGCGACGCTCGCTGTCGTCTTCAAACGCGGCATGAGTGCAGCGCTATAGCAAATGTCGTGACGCTGCGCTCATGCCGTCTTTTGGAGGGGGCCCTTTTTCAACCCTCATTCTCCTAATCCCTCCCGTCTTCCTGTTTGGGTAGGATGGATGGAAGGAAAATGTTGTTGATATGTCAACTCGATATAGCGGCGTTGCCTAGCAATAAGATTGCTGACCAGTATGTGCAAACAGCAATCACCCCTACCAACCCGATATGGCACGCCGAACCGATCAGCGCATAGAGTTCCCATACGGAACTCCCCAGTCGGGAATACCTCCCCAGCAGCAGCAGCAGCAGCAGCAGCATCACCCTACTCCGGTCCAACCGCCGATGAATGTCCCTCAACCTCCAAATGCCTCAGCTTCTCAACAGCAGGCAGCGACTCCCACGCCAACACAACAGAGCCGCCAGCGGAAGCGACCTGCTCCAAATACTGCCCCATCGCCGGCTACTGGAGCGCCTGCTGCTCCTGTTGCGGGAAGCCAGGCTCAACCTCCGGCTCTCACTCCTCCCACTCCCCAGGCTGCTCCCTCGACATTGCAGCCACAGGCTCCAACAGAAGATGCCAAGACGACGCCTGTGCAGCCGCCTCCGGCCAAAAAGAGTCGTACTAATACCCCATGGACGCCGCAAGAAGAACTGCGGCTCAAACAAATGCGAGACTCGGGTAACAGTTGGGCAGAAATTGCCAAGGTATGTCACTCTGTCCTTGTGACCGAGGAATCGAAGCTCATCATCGTTTTAAATAGACATTCCCCACCAGAACAGAAGGTTCAGTCAAGAAGCATTGGTACAAGGTTTGTTTCTCCCTGACTAGATGGGAAATGAGGCCATGTTTGTGTATTAATGTTTTACCCAGGATATGCACTATGCCGAGTTTGCTGAAGATGAAGTAAGTATTCATAGGGTCCAAGTATATCTGTCACTTAGACTAACCGATGCAAACAGAGCCAAGCCTTGTTGAACGCAATCAAAGAATACGAAAATAACAAGTGGAAAGTGATTGGCCAAAAGGTCGGCAAGCCGGCAAAGGTACGAAATGTCAACTGGATACATGACCTAAGCGTCACCTTGCTAACAATCGAATTAGGCATGTGAACAATATGCCAAAGAGCACTTCCCTGGTAAGTGATGCGTCACAGTTTCTGGTTGTGGCTGTCTGTAGTGTCGCAGCCAATCTAATGCTGTCGCAGATCTTTTCGCAAACGGCAAGGGCAGGTAGTGACCCTCCTTTGCCCCCCTGCCATGTCGATTTGTACAGTGCTTGCTTGATCAAATTTGGGCAACCTTCTTTCTAGCGGCTAGCTTGGGTGTTTTTCTTTTTCCGTGTATTTTGGTCCAACAATCGTTTTGCAACGCCAAGCGGTATACGGTACTGGACTCTCGCGAGTCTCTAATTCGCGATTAATCTGCCAAGAGGCCGTCACGGGGCAGTGGCAGTGTGTATTCTGACACACTGTAGGTGAATGATCTGTGCAGCTGCAACATGAAACCGTTGCGATGATGACCGGGGTGGGAAAAGGCAGGACAAATAGGACCATGAGATGCATCGCGCATGTCTTGTTTGAAGTGGGGTTTTATTCCCTGTGTCTCTCTTGGGTGTTCACATTGTTCACTCTCCTTTGTTGTGGTCGTGTTGCTCAATATTGGTATGCTGCTTCTGTACCTAGATGTTTGGTTGTATGTTTTCGAGTTGAGTCTGGAACTGGTCAGGGCTTTCGGGTGGGATTCTGCTTTCGCTTGGAGTAGGAGAACACGGCGGCAGAGAATGGGCTTCACAGTCTGGCGGCCTTAGTGATGGGATATAAGTCAGGTTTCGATTTAATGGCGGCCGCCTTGTGTGGGAAGATTCGGGTTTGAGTTCGTAACAACCGGAAGCGACGGGCACGTGTGTGGTGTGCTTGTCTGTTGGCGACAGAGGGTTTGAAGGGAAAAAGGTATCAAGTCGATGGTAGCTTTATTTTTATTCCTGATGATAAGAAGCATGATGGACAAGGCAAATCCTTTACGAGGCTTGACAGCCATCCTGGATACTTTGCGAGGATATCGTCTTGAAATTTCCTGTCCGGAAAACTAGAGCCAACTTCCTTAGTTATACCCCAATTTTAGTTATTTGCACGACGGAACGGTTACGTGAAAGATATATTGGTGTTGATGGAAAGTCACCAGCGAGCTACTCGCTGGCCCTGCGGCCATGCAAGTGTAGATCTATATCCAGCTGGTGGTGACTTGTTGTCGAAGTACTCCTACAACCACGCCATGCATCTTGCCGCGATCCCGGGCCCCACCGCAAGGGGTACATGAAACCTCGTAGGGCCGTCCGTGACGAGGTACCAGTTACTCGACGCGGCAAGCGGGAAGCGGGAAGCGATCCACTCCTGAAGCTTCTATCTGAGTTGCAGAGTATCAATAGCATGTGCATTATTGCAGGTCTTTGGGCCGGCATCCCTGGGAGGAGGGGGGTTTCCTCAGCCTGAGGCGTCAAACAATGTTGTGAATATATCCACCGTGGGCTTTTATGCAGTGACTTTCGCACTCTATTAGGGCTGGCGAAACTAGAGACGGACCTTCGGCATCATACCTGCACGCCTGGTTCTGTTTACTTGAAAACATACTGGTAGGCAAATCTGTGCAAAAGCGCAGTATCAGTAATCATTTCTTGACCCGTCATATTTAATATAGGTAGCTTCAGGAGGAAGCCCAGAAGAAACACAATGCCATCCCAAGTCGCTCGCGCAATCCTTAGAGAGAAACAATAGGAGGGTGGGACGAGATATAGGGTAGGACCATTTGCTGACGGAAATCAATCATGTCACCGTGCGGCCCACTCTGCGGGAGGCTAGTGTCTGCCGCGTAGCGGAGCTTGAGGCCAATTTTTTTTTTTCCAGCGATATCTGATAACGATTTCTGGAAGCAAACTCGTCGCCACAACTCAGCACCCTCTGGCTTCTAGGACCACCATCTCAATACACACGCAACACGCAACCATGAAGCGTAAGCTCGATCAGAATGGTGTGCCATCGCCGGAACCTGAAAACCAAAAACGCACAAAAGCAGAGTCAACAGGGGACGCAGAGCTCACATTTGCGGATCTTGGATTGGACCCTCGTCTTGTCCAGGCGGTTGCTGAACAGACCTTTCTCAAGCCTACTCTTGTTCAACGTAAAGCCATCCCGCTAGCGCTCAATGGAAAAGATGTTCTTTGCAAGTCCAAGACTGGCTCAGGAAAGACTGCGGCTTATGTCCTTCCAGTCTTGACTGCCATCCTCAAGAAGAAAGCCGTACGTCGTCGTGGTGTGATTGCCATCTTGTCGCTTGATCTCCTTGTAACATAGCCTTAGGCCGAAACTGTCGCTGCGACGTCCGCATTGATATTGGTACCGACCCGAGAACTGGCCGACCAAGTTTTCAAAGTGATCGAACAATTCTCCTCGTTTTGTGCCAAAGATGTTCGCGCTGTCAAGTTGACGGATAAACTGTCCGACGCCGTACAGAGGTCTCTGCTGTCCACGAATCCCGACATTGTCATATCTACCCCCGCACGAGCCTGGTACAATGTGAAATCAAACCAGTCCTCTCTCTCCCTCGACAAACTTACCCACCTTGTTTTGGACGAGGCTGATCTGCTACTATCATATGGGTATGATGAGGATCTGGAGAACCTGTCTTGGTCAATACCAAAGGGAATACAGACTATCATGATGAGCGCCACCCTTACAACGGAAATCGATTCGCTCAAGAAGACTTTTTACCGCGACAACGCTCCGACTCTGCTTGACCTTGAAGAGCCCGATGCTGAAGGCGAGGGGATAACGCAGTTGTTCACAAAGTAGGTCTACATTTTCTAGACGTGCTGGAAATTTAATCGCCATCGCTAACCAGTTGATATTGACAGGTGTGCCGAGGACGAGAAATTCCTATTGGCCTACATCATTTTTAAGCTCCAGCTGGTCAAGGGCAAATGTATAATATTTGTCGGCGACGTCGACCGATGCTACCGATTGAAACTCTTTTTTGAGCAGTTTGGCATCAGGAGCTGTATTCTAAACTCGGAACTACCTGTAAACTCAAGAATCCATGTCGTGGAAGAATTCAACCGCAACGTTTATGACATCATTATTGCCTCAGACGAGAAGGAGGTTCTTGGAAATGAAGAAAAAGCTGATGAGGAAGAAAACCATGAAGGCGACCAGGAAGAGGATTCTGATGCGGAGAAGGAAGAACGACGACCTAAGAAGAAGCGCAAGGCATCAAAACGAGACAAGGAGTACGGTGTCTCTCGAGGTATGTCTTCAATAATCCCGACGAATGCGCTCACCATCATTCATATTCATACTTACCAACACGACGCGACGCGCAGGCATTGATTTTAAGAATGTGGCCGCTGTCATCAACTTTGATCTCCCAACATCCGCTTCGTCATACACCCACCGTGTTGGACGAACGGCACGGGCTGGTAAGGCTGGCATGGCGTTGTCATTTGTTATTCCCAAGGAGCAGTTCCGGAAACACATGCCTACATCGATCCAAAGTGCGGAGAATGATGAAAAGGTTCTGGCGAGAATCACGAAGCAACAGGCCAAGAAGGGCAAGGAAATCAAGCCCTACAATTTCAACACCAAGCAAGTGGAGGCCTTTCGCTATCGCATGAACGACGCTCTGCGTGCTGTTACCAAGGTAGCGGTTCGCGAGGCGCGAACCCGGGAATTGCGTCAGGAGTTAATGAAGAGCGAAAAACTAAAGAGGTGAGATCTCCATGTACTCCAGTGAGGTCCCACGATGCCCGGCTCTAACATTAGTGCAGATACTTTGAAGAGAACCCATCGGAAATCAACCACCTCCGTCATGACGGTGAACTGAGAACGGCAAGACAGCAAGCTCATTTGAAGCACATTCCGGACTACCTGTTACCAAAGGATGGCAAGAAGGGCCTTACAGAAAATGATATTGGCTTTGTTCCGTTGAGAAAACCTGGCAAGCTACGTGACCATCGAAAAGGCAAAGGCACGAAACGGGGTGGGTTTAGGGTTGGTGCTAGAAAAGGCGATCCTCTCAAGACTTTCAAGGCAAGGCGAAAGACGAAGTGAGGGACGTCAAGGCGCGACTTGTTACTTGAACAGCATGCGGTAGGTGATCTAGGTACGGAGTAGTCACGAGCACGTTGGAATAGCCAATGTCCACGAACCACGGCGTTTTCTGGGGGTTAAACTGCCGGCGCCAGTTGTGTCTAGTGAATTGCCGAGTTGCCGTTGATAGCGCGCCACCGTCATTGATGAACTACCGACTTGCAATATTCACGTCAAGTCTGTTACAGAGTACATCTGCCGACCTATGTACAAAGGCAGTAGGGTCGGGTTAGGTAGGTACCAAGTAGATCGAGACGGGCAACATTGAATCAACGAGCCTCTCCACCTTCTGGGGTAGTTCGCATGCCAATGACAGACAGCATAATAAAATAGTACTCCCTACCTGATCATTGCTCCAGTTCGTATTTTTTTTCTCCCGCTGGCGTGACATCGTTGACGCCAACGGCGCCTCTGGGCCATGCCAGGGATGGTAAGGCCGTTGAAGCCTTCTAAACTGGGAACGAGGCAGCCCCACATATTGCTAGCCCGCATTTTAGTACTTCGCAGACATGATGGGTGACGAGCGAATAAATGCACAACTTTGGGACTTCTGAATTGCATAGGCAAATATCATAAAATTACACACTGCATTTATGAATAGGCATATTCTTTTTGAAATCTATTTATTTCTTTAATATTGCACCCAGCGCGCGGTGAGTATTATAAAGGTATCATCTCCCCCCGGTCCCCCCTGTGCCGTGCATCGGCCCCACTATTTTAATACTTGAAGTACCGTGAGCTACTCCTTAGACAACTCATCTTAACAGGAGGAATACGAGGTGATGCTCTGTCGACCGTCACTCGTTCCATCGAAGAAGGGAGCCTGGCGTAAGATATCTTCACTGGCCTTTCAGCCAATGCATCCAAGTTGGTAGCGATTTCTACCCAGCGGCGAATCTGCTGAGCTCTGACAGCTGTTTGGTTCCGTTGGGCAATGCGTGTGTCACTGAAAACTGATGTACGCCACAAAAATGAAAAAAGGAGGGCGATATTGGGCAGGTCCCTGCATCGTATGCAGGCTGCCGACGTCAAAGGAAAAAAAAACGTTTGTTCCTTTTCCATGTTTCCATCGAGATTGTGCGAGTGATAGAATACAGCTCAGGTTGCACAATCTGGGATTTCCCTGGTAGCACAGAGGCGGCTCAAGCAGGCCCTGAGCGCACCGATTAGGTATTGCGGTACTCCGTACTAGAATTCAAATGGTAGGCGGATTCTGGTTGGCACTGGCCCCGAAACGCGTGCCGAACAGCCGCTGCAGACACGCTGTAGGGTGGCATTCTCCGGAGAAAATTGGCACAGCTCGTTCTCTCCTGCCCTCTAGCTCCTGCACTAGTAGACAAGTACTCCGCACTTCGTACCTGTTCTTAAGCCCCACCCGCCAGGCTGCCAGGCCCGAGTCGTGCCACGCAACGGCACACCGGTTGCCATTTGTTCAGCTCGGCTGGACGGGCTGGATTTGATGGGCCCAAGGCCCTGCCCCTTTGTGTGACCTGTCTGGTGTCTCATCCCCAGCTCCATCAGCCCTCTGCCACTCCAGTTCCTCGCTCGTGGAAGTATCATTCTTCGTTCCTCACGCGCTGAACATAATAAACAAGCCTTTCGCTAGGTTCGTCGAGGAACTCTAACTACGGACCGTTTCCTTCGTTTTGCGGCCGACTACATTCGCTTTGCTTCCTCGTTTCGTTTCATCCTCGCCGTCATCCTCGCCGTCGCCTGCGTCTGCGCATTTCCAGTTCCGACAGCCGCAGCGTTGTGCGTTTGTTCCTTCCCCATCGCGACTCTTGACATAATTTCTTTGTTGTCGCCATCAGTCTGCGACTTGTCGTTCTCCGTCTGTCCGACTGTCTATCAAGTTTGGTCGTTCCGCTTTCGTTGGGCTGGTGGAATGAACACTTTGCAGCGACTCGCAACCATATTATTCTAATTTCGAACATGTTGCGCTCCGTTGCACTTACCACCCTTTTGGGTGCTTGCTCTGTTCTGGCGGCCAAGTGCTCTCTTACGCAGAAATGTCCTCAAGATGCTCCTTGCTGTTCCCGTAAGTTTCCCCCTCCTCCGGCTTGCGCTTCTGTCTCTTGGTAGGGACGCAGCATGATTTTATTTGCTGACTTGTGTCCTCTCCCGTCTGCAGAATATGGCGACTGTGGTGTCGGTGCCTTCTGTCTGGGTGGCTGTGACCCTCGCATGTCTTACAATCTCTCGTCCTGTGTCCCCGCACCGGTTTGTTCGGACAAGACGGCTAAGTTCACAAACCTCGACAGCATCGTCGATATAAGCAAATACTACGGCGATTCTACGAAGAAGGACTGGGTAGCCCAGGGAGAGCCTGCTTCCAAGGATGGAAATGTCCTGTTGACCATGCCCAAGAACAGTGTTGGAACTGTTTTAGCCTCCACCTCTTACATGTGGTATGGCAACGTCAAGGCCAAGTTCAAGACCAGCCGTGGCCGTGGTGTTGTTACCGCCTTCATTCTGCTCTCGGACGTAAAGGATGAAATTGACTACGAATTCGTCGGTGTCGATCTCGAAACTGCTCAGACCAACTACTACTTCCAGGGTATTCCTGACTACCACAACTCTGGAAACGTTAGCTTGTCTGATACCTTCCACAACTTCCATGAGTATGAAATCCGCTGGACCCCCGACAAAATTGAGTGGCTCGTCGACGGACAGGTTGGCCGCACCAAACTGCGAAAAGACACCTGGAATGAGACCTCGCAAAGCTGGATGTACCCGCAGACTCCGGCTCGTGTCCAGCTGTCTATCTGGCCAGGCGGTGCTTCCACCAATGCTAAGGGCACCGTCGACTGGGCCGGTGGTCCTATGGACTGGGATGCCGAAGATATCAAGAATGTCGGTTACTTCTACGCCACTTTCTCCGAGGTCACCATGGAGTGCTACAATGCTAAGAGTGCTCCGGGCACCAACAGCGGAAAGAGCTACACCTATAACAGCGTTAAAGGAACCAATGACACCGTTGTTGATGGCAAGGGTGACACTGTCCTCGGGTCGTTCGAGGGTACCGGATTCAACATGATGAAGGACAAGGCCTCTGCTTCACAGAGCGCCGATAAGCCTAAGAACACCGCAGCCACCATTCCCGGTGGCAGCTCCGGAGGTACTGGCCAAGACCACAGCGGCAACTCTGGCAGCAACTCTGGCAGCAGCTCTGGTGGCAACTCTGGTGGCAACTCTGGCGGCTCTGGCGGTAATTCAGGATCCGGTGGTTCGGGCAGCAGCAGCAGCAGCAGCGGCTGTGCAGCCAACACCTTCAACCAGGATTGTGGCAGTGGCAACAGCGATCAGAGCGGTAATGGCAAGAACAGTGGCACCAGGGCGAGCGCTAGTGCATTGGCAATGGTCATTGCTGGCTGTGCCCTTTTCTGGCTGTAAGCGCGCAGACGTTCCTAAATGATATGGCTCTTTGTTTCGTGGGCGAATCGGCGCGATATGGCTTGGAAGGGTTTTGTGCAGCATTACTTCCTATGCTCTTTGGATTACTTGTTCTGCCTTCATTTTGTTCTGCTTACTACACGGGGGTGTTTTATCCGCGTGTCATTCTACTTACAGTATTGGCATGGCTATGCCTTGAGTTTGCTGTATCTAAGAGCATTGTTCACTAGCACACACACTGTATGTATGGGATTGGTACTAGTTTGAGTTGCATTTCTCTCTCTTTTTCAGTATTTTGGTTGAAGGAGATGGTGAAGGCCCATATTGTATTCGGCCCCGAACTTTAATGACCTTTGGTCGTCCATTCCTTGGAAATAAAAAGGCCATTCACATTGTTAATTGAACAAGAATATTGGACAGTATCTAGGCTTTCCAGGTCGTAATGCAACATGACGCAATCATCTTGAGAAAGTAAATGTATATTTGCTCCAGGAGCAGCCTTGGGCAACTTCGCTCCCATGCGAATGTGCATTCAGCCCGCGGGGGTACTACGCAGTTTAGGATCAACCCATCGTTTATGAGGTGCCGACACGACTTTGGTTAGCATTGTAGCTACTTGATGGAGTCAGCTCAAAGTTAAGATGAGTCAAATACGGCAAATACAATCTTGATGGAAGCCGGCTTTGAGACAGTTTGTAGCTATCGCTTGTTGTTGTGGGCGGATTCTGGGGCAGATCAAGCAGCTCGATACTACACATATATACAGAGACCAAGTACATCCGACATGTCGCCGTGGTTGGATACAAGACGGCGATTGGTGATGCTGCTCTCCTAGATTGGGAAGTTGATGAGGATCCCTTGCCAAGCTTTAGGTTTTGATGTTGTCAAAAGCTTGACGGGGCCGAATTGGCGTTGGATACGACGCTGCCACGCGGTGCCCATCGCGTCGGGACAACTATAGTGAGGCTCGTGGGGATATACCAAGATGTCGCCCGTTAGATGCGTCGTGGCCGACGGTAGCGGGGCGAGGGGAGCGCGTTTGCGGGTTGCCGCGACTAAAGGGCGAAGGCGCGAGCGGGGCGGGGCGGGCCAATCGGTTGGAATGGACTCCAGCCCTGTTAGTGTTGGACACGGGCTCAGAGGTGGATGGACTATCAGATTGGAGGTACTGCGCCACACAAGCCACGCCGCGTCTGACAAGTGCCATCGGATGAATACACCTGGCCGTGGAATGACGAGGCTTTTGTGTTGAGTGACGAGTGACGAGTAACGAGTGACGAGGCGCGCCGATGGCGAATGACGGAAGATGCGGATGGTGTCAAGAGATAAATATGCGTGGTAATCCTCGCTTTGTAACTTTTTCTTTTTTATTTCAATCATCATCGTAATTAGCGGCACTACACAATACACCATACATTCAAGCAAAACCGCGAATACATCAGCAAATACCCAAGGTATTCCTGGCTACGCACTGCAAGCACCATCACGATGTCTACTACGCAGGCTATTACTTTTATTGGCGCCACCGGCGGCTGCGGCCTCTCGGCGCTCAAACGCTCCGTTGCGGCAGGCTACACATGCGTTGCGCTCTGCCGCACCCCGGCCAAGATGGAAGCCCACTTCCCCGACAAGCCAAGCAATTTGATACTCAAGCAGGGCAACGCTCACGACGCCGTGGCGGTGGGCGAAGTGCTGCTAAGGCCATCTGACCCCACGGCCATGGTGGATGCGGTCAACTTCTCCATTGGCGGCACCGTCAACGCCAACCTGACCATGGACGACCCGGACGTCTGCAAGAAGGGCGTGGCCGCACTGCTCGAGGCCCTCGGCACGCTGCGCTCAAATGGCGTCGCCGGCAGGCCTCTCCTGGCCGTCGTCAGCACGACAGGAATCTCGGAGCACGGGCGGGACGTCCCCTTGCTCTTTGTGCCGCTGTACCACGTCGGCCTCAAGGCGCCGCACGCCGACAAGAGGGTGGCCGAGCAGACGCTGTACGGCAGCAGCGAGAGGTTCGTCCTGGTGCGGCCGAGCCTGCTGCAGGACGGGGAGAAGCCAGACAGGAAGATCCGCGTGCACGTCGAGAGCGAGAAGGGCGTCGAGCACAAGGAGGTCGGGTACTTTATCTCCCGGGAGGATGTTGGCCGCTGGATGTTTGAGAACTTGCTGCAGGACGCGCGTCAGACGAACAAGTATGAGTGCAAGGCGGTGGGCTTGACTTGGTAGTCGCCAATGGAGAGGTATACATCATATATACCTTGGCATGCATGGATAGGATGGGACTGGGCAATTTCTTCTTCTTCTTCTCCTTCTTCTTGTTCTCCCTACAAAATGAGCAGCGGGCGTTTTTGGACGGGCTTGTCCTTTTTTGTTGGACTGGACCATGGATGTACATAAGTTGCGGACCCGTCCGTAAGGCAACTATTACCTCCGTAGATGGACGAATCATAATGAGCCGCTTAAGCACCTGGGGTAGCTGGGGCCCTTTTTTTTTTTGACTTTTGGCTTGGCTATTACGTACAACTCGATGAAAGTGTCTTGGCAGGGGGGGGTTCCTCCCTTTGTAATGCCCTTTCTGGCATCAGTGAAAGTGCGTGACGTCGTTTCTTTTAGCTATTGTTCGGAAGTTTTTTTATGTAATATTCATTTTATTCCAAGCAGCCATGGTCAGATTTCGTCCGAACCGATGTGACTTAATTAACCTTCCCCCAGGGCATCCATGCCTCATGCATGATCTGCGAGAACACATGACCCCCTTTGCCTTTGAATGACGGTCGGCAGTTGCGTGGCAGTCACCACTCTCCACTCCTTCCTTCCTTCCAAAACTTCCGCTGATGGATTGTAGCATTAGTTGACGGTTTTCTTGGAATCAGACCCAGACTCGACATTTCTCGGGCTTCACTACTCTGCATTAGGTACTCGGTGGTCGCTCGTGACTCCATCCTTGGTGGCACACTCCCCGCGTTGTGGCGCATCGCCATCATCACACCTAATTCCTTTGTTCCCGCAACTAGAAAGGAACCTTTTCTTCTTCTTTTTGTCATGTTTTCCCGTTTGATGTGACGATTGACCTTGTGAAAGTACCAGTCTTTCCCCATCGCCCACCTGCAACATTGGATTGATATATTCAAGGCCCGCATTTATTTGTCGAGGTATGCTTGAGTCATTGTGTTGTTTCATGTTATTAACTATACGCCTGTGGGAGCCGAAAAGCACTGCGTTTCCACTCCGTCAAGCATAGGCATCCATGCAAAGTTGAAGTAACTGGATGGGAATCCGGGTGCAATGACTTATAAACTTGGCTGTCTTCCCTCGTCTTTGAGCCGTGTACGTATTCTGAATTCTCAACTTTCATCTTCACCTAGACACGGAGGTTTCTGGGAAACCTCGCTCACCCACTCCTTGATTCATTCATTTTCAAAAAAAAACCAATTCATTCCTTTTTTCTTCCATTCTTCTTCCTTTACAAACCACCATGCTGACACGACTTCTTCTCGTCGCCGCTGCGGCAACAGCCAGCGCATTGCCCTCCTGCAACAAAAACAACAACACCAGCGGTCCCGGCAAGATGCTCAACTCTGCCAAGCTCCTCATCACCTCTCCGGGCAAAATCTCCATCGCTGACTTTGATGGTACCAAGTTTGACATCAAGAGCACCAAGGGTGTCTCTGGCAACCCGACGTGGGTGGCCTTTTCACAGCCAAACACCTTGTACGCCGTGGACGAAAACAGCGATACCACCAGTCTCCTGAAAGTTGATCTTGCGGGAAACAAGATTGACCAGCTGAGCTCCACAAAGGGCAGCAGCGGCGTTGTCCATCTTGAACTTACAAAGGACAAGTCGCAGATGGTTGGTGCAGGCTATGGGAGCAGCAACATTGACATCTTCGACATCTCCAACGGCGGCTTGAAGTTCTCCAAGGCCATCAAGTCGGACGACAAGGTCGGCCCCAACACTGCCCGCCAGGAGAAGCCGCACCCTCACCAGTCCCTCCTGGATCCTTCGGGCCGTTTCGTGGCAGTCAACGACCTCGGCACCGACAAGGTTCTCATCCTCGACTCCCAAAATTCCTTTGGCATCGTCAACCGCGTCCCCGTTGAGCCCGCGGGCTGTGGCCCCCGGCACGGAGCCTTTTTCCCCGCCGGAGCCAACAAGGCGACGCACTACATTGTTCTTTGCGAGATCAAGAACCTCGTCGTGGTGTATTCCCTCAAGTACGGCGGCGACAAGGGCATCGAGTTTGTGCCGAAGCAGACTATCTCGACCTTCGAGTCTCAGGAGGCCACGCCCGCTGAAGCTGCCGCCGGAGAACTCGTGCTTGCTGCGGATAACAAGAACGTCTATGTGTCAAATCGCTTGACGGGCGGGCAGACGGATAACATTGCGAATTTCCGCATTGCCCAGAAATCCGACGACCTCAAGTTGGAGCTTGTGGGCTTCACGTCCACTGGAGGAAAGCGGCCTCGCATGTTCAGTGCCTCCATGGACGGCCAGCATCTGTTTGTTGGAAACCAGGACGGCGCGCTGGGTGTTGTGGCCTTGAAGCGAAATGCAGACGGTACACTGCTTGAGAAGCCTGTGGCGAGCCTTGATATGAGTCTGTTCCCGGGAGCGTTGGCTGGTCCTGCCTTTGTGCAGCAAGTTGCTTGAGTTTGTGGGCCGTTGTCCCCTTTTTTTTTCTTTTTCGTTTTCCTTTTTTTTTACGTTTTCCTGGCTGGGCCTTGCGCTGCAACTGCCAGTCATTTTATCACTTTCTTTCTTACTAGAGCATGGAAGAGCAAGAGGCGGGCATGGCCGTCGCTAGATGACGATCCAAAGTTTTGATTCAAGTAAATAGTAATGCTCACCACTAACGGTTTGTGCCAGCTTCCAAAACATGTCATCTATATACGTCAAACTAATGCTGATCGGTACCGTCTAAGGCTCTGTATACTTTATGACAAAAAAAAAAAGATGGCCAGGGAAGAAGAAAAGGTTTGTAACCCCCCCAAAGAATGCGAAAACATGCAGTATAATAACAACTCGGTTCTTTGATATTCGTTTCCTGCTCTACTCACAGAGTCAGAGCTCCGATTGCAAATGCTCCCAAAACGCCAAACCAGCTCCAGGACATTCTTGCTAATCCTGCGCCGTTATCCTTGTTTCCACTGTTTCCATCCGAACTACCACCACCAACTGGCTTCGACAGTTCATTCACTTGCTGCGGTGAACATGTCCCCACTATCGACGTCAGATCCGTTGATGAATCTATCGATTGCGTCTTTGAGCCGCAGTTGGCGTAGGGCGCCATGTACGTCATGTTGTTTGAAATGTCAAACAGCACTGCCCGCAATTCATGTTTGTTAGACACCACCAATTCCAATACGAAGCGCACACGGGAAAAAAAAAACTCACCATACGCAGACCGCAAGAAGGTGTCGCCTAGCAACGTGAAGGAAGTGCTGGGCATGATGCCCAGGTAGCAACTCGGGGGCAAGGTGGCAATCTCGCGAACCATCTCACTGTACGGGACTCGGATGGTGACGCCGTCGAAGTTGAAGTCCAGGCTGCCGTTCTTGCCTGCCACGCCGCAGTCCACCATGTAGAGCCCGTTCCGGTCCAGGCCGCGGGCGCCGACTCGCCTGGCGATGTCGTTGGCCAGCCTGGGCGGCAGCAGGGTGAGGGTGGCACCCGTGTCCATGAAGACGGGCATCGTCGCGCCCGTCAGGTTGGCCGTCCTCCCGGACTCGGAGTTGTGCTGGACCGACGTCAGATTCACCCAGAAGCGCGTCACGCCGTCGGGGGACTTGTCGCCGGGGATCAGCGGCAGCGGCGTCAGCCTGCCTGCGAACTTGGCCGTGTCGACGCCGCCCATGACGACGACGCCGGCCCGGTCGGCCTTGCTGCCCAGCGCGACGCTGTAGGCCTTGGTCTTGGTGATGCCCTGGTCCGCGAGCTGGTCGACAAAATTCCTGTAGCCCGTGTTGACGCCGACGCCGTGCCCGATGCCCAGGATGCCCGAGAACTGGTCCTTGGTGGACCGCGCCACGCCGAACTGCACCTGCTTCATCTGCCGCGAGTCGACGAGCGCAATGTCATCGAGGAAGTAGGTGATTTGGGCGGAGCCGATGCCGTACCGGAGCTCCGTACTCAGGTTGCTTCCCTTGGACGACGAGGACCGGAGGGGGTTGTATTGCCCGACGGCCTGGCAGAACTGCTTGTCCGCGGAGGAGGGGAGACTCGTGCAGTCCGGGTTGACCCAGAGCTCGAACGATCCCGTGTCGAGTTGCGCAAAGACTTTTTGAACGGGGTTTCCTATGTTGACTTTGAATTTTTTTGGGTCGGGGTTAGTACCAAGGTTTGCTAAACATGACTCTTGTTGTTCTCATGGAACAGAGGGTAGGAAAACTCAATGGGAGGGCAGCTTTACGTTGGACATAGTAGGCGACGTCTGAGCGGTTCTCGAGCCGGACCTCGACGTCTCTTTTATCCAAGCGTCTCTCGACATGAAGGACAGGAAGCGTCAGGTGGCCCGGCGAGATGTCGCCCTCGGGAGGCCCGCGCTTAGCATCTTCCTGGAACGAGTTGTTGGAGGACGAGTCTTGGTCGTCTTCTGTGGCCTCAAGACTCCCAACTGCGTCGTCTCGCTGCGAGAGCTGAGGCACCGGCAGCGTTCCCACAGACAAGGCCTCGCCTACAAAAGGCAGCTCCCTGGACGATATGTCCGCGACGATGTTTTCCGCGCGAATCTCCTCCCCAAAGAACCTTGATTCATTGCGTACCTGCGGCCATCCGTGTACAGACAGAGAAAGCGAAAGCACGGCCGTGGTTATCAGAAAAGACACCATTTTGGGGCTGCACAGGCTCTTACTTCTCAGTCGAAATATGATTTCAGAAGACCACCCCGAGGCTGCTCTATAACAAAACACATCAAAAAATACGAACAAACAGAGGAATTCTAGACGAGGAAAAAGAAGGAAAGAATATTTTCATCTAGTCACAACACGCAAGTTGAGTGTTTTCCAAGGGAAAGTAGTTGGAAAGCATATACGCCTTTACGAACGGGCTGGCGGCAAGCGCAGATTCCGGCAGCACATGGCGGCGCCAGCCCTCGCCTTCGAGCCCAACAGAGGCAGACAAGAGGTGGCAAGACATGATGAGGACGAAACCCAGGTCAAGGCATTTTTTGAAACGAGGGAGTTTGCGGAGGACTGGACGCTTGTGGCTATACGAGACGAGGCGAGAGCATCGAAAATAGACGTGGCTTGGCTTCCATACGCGCCGATCCTGGAGCTGGAACGAAGCTGTAGTATTGACTGGCAGGAAAGACTGGGCGTTTTGGTGTTTTGGCGTCTCAGAATGAGCTCCTGGAGAAGGATTGACATGTTGTAACAGGGGCGGCGGCCGGGAAGCCCCCCATCCTGTTACAGGTTCGTGCGTCCGGACGAACAGGCTTTTCTATATGAAACGGGAAGAGTGTCGATCGTGTGGTTATTTTCTCTCTCTCTCTCTCTTTTTTGTGTAGGTAGGGCCTTGCTTCTGGACTGCAACGGGTTCGGCCGCTGGCATAATAGTCCATAGACAAGAACAAGACAATTTTGATCTGGGAAATGACAAGAGCTGAGTGGAAGGCGACTGAGACGGCAGCTTGTGCAGGTTTCTTGGATGAGATCCCGCGCCTGCGATCTACCGAGCCGGTGTCGAGCACCACCACAGGCTGTCCAATGACGTCGCCTGCCGACGGGCTCGAAAGTGAAGAAAATGGTAAAATAGAGATGCTGATCGGGCGCAAAGTCTTGGGCTAAGCTTTTTTGCCGAGAAGCCATCTATTGTTCGAGGCCAAGGCTCGTTGCTTGGCCGCGCTCCAATATGTGCTCACACCATATTGGCAACCAGCCGTTTGCTTCTCACGGCCAAACGACCACAGCGCCGCCACACAGCCGTCATCATGGCTACCAAATAGCCAACGGAGGGGGGCTACTCTACTCTACAGTTGACGCTTGGCCGTCAAGGTCGTTGTATCTGAGCGGCTGCGCGGCAAGGGTTCAGTGGCCGGCGGCGGTTGGACGAGCGATGGATGCAGCTCCAACAGATGGCTACTTGTGCCACAAACTCCTTCACGGCACCTTTTTTTCGTTGTCGGGGAATACGAGGGACACGTCACTGAAATGCGTCGAGATTGCGCGATTGCGCCAATCTTTGCAAATGGCACGAGGACCAACAGACATTGGATCACATCTGCTCGATGGGAGGCTCGATGCCAATTTCTCCCTTCCATGATGGGACTTGAGCCTACGTGGCTCACATGTAGTAATCTGCCAATAAGGCCGAAAGCACCTAGTGCCTGGGCCGAGGTTATAGCTGCGCCATGAGACAAGATCTATCTATTTGTGGTACGGGGGAAGCATCAACGGGCAGGCAGCTTCATATATTCAGGAACCGCTAGCCCGGGAGAGAACGTTGCCTAGAGATGGAACAAATGATGTAGCGAGTACACGAGTTCCCCCATGGACCGATTGAAGCATGTTAAAGGCGCCGGCAGGGGAATTCTTTTGCAGTCAAGGGAGCGTTTCTCCCAGGACTAAGTGGTAGCTCTTTGCTGCTTGCTGGACTGTCAGTCAACATACATGTATGAAACCGTATAAATCTTTGAATGCGTCTCTGCCAAGTTACAAGCAGTGTAAGCCACAATGAAGAGATGCCTTGGCTGGCCTCTCGGATGGCCCCTCGGACAGGTAGCTCGGCGGGTAAGGCATTCCGAGCCCAAGATGCAACTCTGAGGTCGCAGTCCCTGGGTTCTTCTTCCATGTACGAGCCATCTTTGGAAAATTGCCTCGGTCTCTGTATACAATGTGGGTGAAGCGACGCTGCCCGCAGAGGGAGATGAGGGAGATGAGAGAGAGATGCTGGTACGGCACCCACTCGTTCCTCGGATGTGTCGTGGCTGCGAACTTGCAGCTTGGTTGTAATGCTACGACCCTACTTGACGGGGAAACCACGTATAATTTCATGGCCGTGCGTCCGCGTTGGAACGAGTGGGGGATGATGGATGGGTGGTTTTGACGGACCTGCTTGATGAGCTGGCATCGTGGGAGTTTTTGGGCAACTCGGATGCCGGAAAGGAAAAGAATACCAGGAGCGCGGCCAGTACGGCAGAGACGGGGGGTTATGAACACGGTCCGTTGGCCCAGGTACCAAGTAGGGATACGCAAAAAGGGGAAAACATGAGATGTAGTCAATATCAACATGTTGTTGTCGTTTACATCGTCTCAGGCTGGCACAACGGCCACGGACGGTTTTTCCATCATGGCAAGACACAACTCTTCTGGCAGGAAGTCACTGCCGCCAGTTTCCACATGCCAAAAAGGGTCTCCGGCAACCATTTCCATCTTTCCCTTCTTCCTCGCTCCGATGCCGCCATGGCTGCCAAAGGGGGGGGGGGGGGGGGGTTTTCGGGTGAAACCATCATGGATGACTCGCAGCTCTGTTCCTGCTGCCGAGGCGGTTGTGGGCCGATGCGACCTTGCCAGACTGTAT